CCGACTTAACTGTTATACAGTATTGATCCTTAATTTGAGAGACTATAACATTTCCTTCTCCGGTACTGACTATCTATAAATGTCTAAGAAATTCACGCCTGTGTCCTCTGTATTAAGCCCTGTTCTTTTTTCACGTTCAATTTTAAAAATGTTATTCTTTTATATTGGTTGGATAAAGTTTGATGATTTTTGGAGACTGGTCACTCTGGCTAAGGATGGGTTGGTCTAATGAGGGGCACCAATGAATGCATTCCTTTGATATCTCAGTTTTTATCATAGACTAATAACAGGTATCCTCAGGTCGAGGAAATGTTTTACCGTATCTTATTGCAGCATCTGTCCAAATGTTGCTCAATGCCCACCAAAAAGACAATCGCTGTTATACATAAAAATATATATGTTTTATTGTATAGTTTACACTAAACATAAGAAGATGAACCTCTGTATACTGTAAATATTCTATGATTGTTTGCTGTGAATGGTCTTCATGGCTGAATAACAGAATTAGTGAATGGTTTTACATATTTAGATGTTAATGTTTTGTTTCTCTGCTCTTTTCAGACCTGTGTGTGATCCTTTTCATAATGGGACTTTTCTATAAGGATTTTGGATGTCATGGATGTTTCTCCTCCTGCTGATGAAGGAAGAGGGCAGCTCACAGTGCTGCCATCAGCAGAGCTGCTCTGAGCTCAGAGAGCTTCATGGACTCAGTTAGGATGCACATTACTGCATGTTTTTCTAGTAAAGTCTTTTTTGAGTTTTTGATTTTGGGACCAGTGGAGATTATAGGATAAATAACTATATGAGGTCCTTCAGATGGGCCCATTGTACTTACTGGAAGCAAGTCTGATTTCCTAACAGTACAAAGTAGTTAAACCAAACATGGATTTGAATAGATGAGACAACAAAGCAAAAAGATACCGTGAGCAAAGAGCTTTCTCCCTATTATAGTGAACAAAGCTATAACAAAGAGTGAGAGCCATTCAGTACAAATCTGATGACATTCAGGCTGCTTCCAGTGCAACACAAACTAAAGCATGAAGTACATCTTATGTTTGAACATTTGCATTATGGGAAGGTAGTGACCGATACACATTTTTTACTCTTAGATTTTACACGCAACACACCATAGTGTGACTTTATAGAGGCTTTCCTGCATAAGTGGTTGAATGTCTGCTGTTTGACATGTGAACTCAGAACCCTTACATCCGAGTTTTTAGTAACTCAGTGGAAACTGGGCATTATTATTTTCCAGATCCTCCTAATCTGGAACACAAAGTAC